CCTCCAGTAAAGCACATTCACATGAAAATTACTCTTAATTAAAAACACTTATCATTTATTCAAAAGTATGTAATAACCTCATATTTAAAGTACTTTTAGAAGTTTGAATTATGAATATGAGCGGACTTTTCCTTTAAAATGGGTCTGTGCATTTATATTAGGTAGAAAATTGATAGGGTTATATGCTAAACAGCTTAAGCTTAGTTAGAATACATGTAAAGGTTTTAAATATTAATGATCAGTTTGAATCTGGCCATAAGTTTCCTTTGCCTGATGGAAGGTTACGCCTACTCATAGTTTGAAGTCTTTCGCAGCATTTAAAAGGTTTGCTCCTTTCAGATACCCCGCCCAAATAGAAAGATCACATAATGTTTCCATGTTGCATCAAAAGAACAATATGCTGATTGATTCAGCTTCTTTTCTACACACAGAGAGTTTTACATGTGTGCAAAAGATAGTAGGTTTCTCCTCAGATAGCCTTCTACAAATTTTAGATCTTTCTTTTTTCTGCACAATTGCTTTTTCAGATGATGTTATCATTGTTTTATATTTTAGTGATACCAGAGACCCCTCGTATAGTGAGGATGGAGTTTATGAATGACTCCACATCAGCAGAGCTACAGTGGGAATCTTCTGAGTCTTCAATGGACTTCATCCTCCAAATCAGGCTCCTTGCAAATAACAGCACCTCGGTAAAGTGACGTCAGGACAGCCATGTTGGCTTTATAGTATGAATTTGACCAGGCAATAACCACAAATGTGACTCTTTCAGGAGTACAGAGAGGTAGCAGAGTTCAGCGAGGGTCTGATACGACTGGAGAACCTACGACCTCTGACTGAATATCAGTTCCAGATCAAAACCTGCGCCTCAAAATCAAGACAGGCGCAAAGATCTCTCTGCAGCAAATGGAGCCCTTCTGTGAGGAAGAAGAGTCCAGGGAAAGGCAAGCGCACAACTCGGACTTAGGACTCATGTAATATCAGGCAAAGAGTCATCATTCTTATGTGTTTTTCCATCAGGGCCATCTCAGCAGCTACATGTGTGGAGAATGATAGGAAAACAGACCAATGGGCTGAAGAATGTGACCGTTTTCTGGAAGGTAATACCATGATTGTCTTTCCTGGAAACTGGTGATATTTTGTGCTAATGGTCCTTAAAACATTTCTTTATCCCTTTAATAAGACTACAAATAGTAATTATTATCAGAGGTGTCAAAAGTACTAATGTTTATTACTACAGTAGAAGTATAAACCTACTGTTTAAAACGCTTTTGTTGAAGTTAGAGAATCAACTAAAGGTTTTTACTCAAGTAAATGTGTAAAAGTACCATTTTTAAAACTATTTAAAGTATAAATGTAAAAGTTTGCAGGAAAAATGTTAAGGACAGAAGCTTTACTGCACTTCCCTATTAAAGGAACACTTTTCTATAATTCTGGATGGTAATTTCCTTAAACTTAGTTTTATAACTAATGGTAACAGTGTCAAATTTAACTTTTCATCATCTTGAAAAACTGTTTATTTTGGTTTGTGGTGAACAGCAAGTTGGGGCAGCACTGAGTCCAACCACAAAGAAATTTATTGTCTGGATGAAACTAATTATTTAGATGTTTTTTCAATTTTTATTAAATACCAACAGGCCATAACGAAAATGAGCTTAAATGAAACAAAACTAATTAGTCTATTGCATCGGTATATTTTATGTTTCCTGTGCAGAGAGATGTTGCTTTGCTTTGGATATCTATCCTAAAATCTCTGTGCAATTAGTTTCTTTAGCTGGAAAACATCTTCATACATGCAAGTGATATTGCATTACAGTAAACAACTTCCGTGGAATTAGTTTTCAGTTGATGGGAAATGGGACAATAGTAGAAAAGTTTAAAGGCTATTTTATCTCTATTGATATTCATTTCGGTGCTTTTTTCCAGAATCCATTCCCAGGCATTTAAACTGAATTAACCCTTTTTTCCCTGTGCATTCACAGACATGGAGAAAAATAAAGTGAGGACAGAAAACTTTATTTACTTCCATGTGTAAAGTTTCTCTTAAGGACTGAGAGCTGTGCTCAAGCCTTAAATTGATAAAACGGAGGGATTGAATGAGCTCACATTATTATACTTAGCTAAATAATAATGACTCCAGTAAGGTATAGATTATTACAATGAAATGATATTGTTATATTGCGCAATATTATCCTGACGTTTTTAAAAGTGACAGGGTTAAAACATTATAGTAAAGTTACATATGCATGATCAGATTTTTTTTTTTTTGTTTTTTGTTAGTGTCCTGTCTGGCAATGTGGCAATAAGAATAATTGTCTTGAACAGATTTTGCTTTCAAAAGTGGAGCAGTACGGCTATCACCATGGTGTTCTGCTTTATTTATGCATGTTAATAGCTTTATTATAATTATGCAGGGGGTGTTACAAATTTATGGACAATGCAAGTAGAACAGGAGAGGAAACCAGGAAAAAGGGAAAAGATGAAAGAAAGAGGAGATAAAAGGGAAACACCGATAAAACATCTTGTCTGCTTCATCACCTGCAAAGAGATGTAAAAAAAGAACAGCACAACCAATGGATATAGTGAGAGATACAATAAAGTAACACCTAGATTCTATCACTGAAGTATAAATGGTATTAGGTATAAGTATTAGGAACAACTTTGATTATTATCCTGAATTTTTAAAAGAAACAGGGTTAAAACATTATAAATAAAGACATTTTTGTTGATCAGGTCCATAGCTGATCACTGAAGCTTAGAAAGTTTGTAGTAAGAAAACCAGACCCTTAAGCTTGTTTATAAGATCTTATGATTTTGTATGGAAATAACTTTCTCCCAAGAAGGTTGTTTATCTCTCCAGCTTTGCATTTCGGTTTAATAAACGATTCTGAGCAGTTATGAGTTGCAGTGAGTGTTGCTGAAAGTAGGAAGGGTTTCAATTTTTTTGATTTAATTCAAATTTAATATCTACTTTTTAAGTAGGAAGCGCTTTCATCAACATATGCTCAGAATATTTCTAGGTTTTGAATCTGTGGTAACATTGCCTGTTTTTATTCTATATGTAAATATATTTATATTGTGATGTGAAGCAGTTTGATATTCCGATAAAACTCATTCTTCAATATTTTATGAAATGTCCTCCATGTTTGTTTTTGCTCCACCTTCGTGGACCAAAGAGGTATCTAGACTTTTAATGTGAAGCAGAAATAAATCGGTTAGTCAAATATGAATTGATTTTTTCATTAAGTCTTAGATGCATCTTACCTTTTGAGATTCTGATGTTACATTTAATCTTTTCAAATATCACTAACAAAAAAATCAGAGCAATTCGATGAAATAAGAAAACCTGAAGTAAACGACTAAATGATTAATAAAAGCCTCCCTTCCTAGCCTCCGTCATTCGAGGATTACAGTGGCGAGTTGAAGATGTACAGCATCTATCTGGATAAAAGCCATAAAGAGTGTGCTGCTGCCTCCAACCATTGTTCAGTTCAGGCACCAGAGGGGCTTCGAGCTCTGAGCGTCTCGGCTATAACCTCCTATGGGGCGTCTCCACCTGCAGTTGTAGACCTAAGACATGCAGGTAACAGAGATCGCAGCAAAGAGACTCAAATCATTCTTTCATTTTTGAAGTCTGTGGGAATCTCTAAAATGTTTTAATCATTTAGGTGCTTCTGGAGCCTCTTTGGGAAAGGTGGCGTCTATGGCAGACGGTAGCTCTGTTCATGTCTCCTGGTCTTCAACAGTTGGAAAGGATCTTCTGTATTTTATAGTAGAGTGGAAGAGCGAGCCTGCTGATGTGTTGCAGTGGAAAAAGGTGGACAAACATATAAAAGGCACAACAATCACAGGTAGAGTCGCCTATTTATTTAATTTGCTGCTAAAACAAGTCAAAAAGATCAACTTTTTTTATATAGATAGAGAGGAGGGGAGAGGACCTAAAATATTTACTCAAGTTAGAGTATAACTACTCTACTATAACTGTAGTATAACTGCAGTAAAGTATATATAACCAAAATGTTTGCACCTCTGAGTAAGTATAACTAGTTAAGACCCATCTTTTTTATTTATGTTTATGCTCTTATCCCACCCCCACACCAGTGGGACTCATAACCCAACCCTTTTGAAAACTTTTTGAATTTTACTAGTAAGCAGAAAAACTGGTGTGGGCTCCATAAGATGTTAAACAGCGCCCCCGTGTGTTCATTATTTAAAATAATTAATCCCACCACAGCTGTAAGGAACAAAGCTAATATTTAATGTACATAATTCAGTGGGGGGGTTGTTCACCTTCATGTTGTGTTTCAGGTTTGATGGCGGGTGTGATGTACAACCTCTCTTTGTATTCTGTGACCAGCAGAGGTGTCAGTGATCCAGCATCCAGACTGATCTACTCCAAAGAACTGAGTAAAAAAAATCAGCTTTTTCCTTCTTTTCTTCACAGCCTGTGCTACATTAACATCCAACGTCTGACTGTTCTGTCTCTGCGTTAATTGTTCCAGAGCCACTTGCAGCTCCCATGTTCCACATGGAAGAAAAGAACGGACAGATTCTGGTCCGCTGGGACGAGCTGCCCTCACACCAGCAAAGGGGCTTCATCACCAAGTACACATTCTATTGGCAGACACCGGACTCCAACAGCAGAGAGCTCAGTGGTAAGCACTGAAAATACAGATATATTTACAAAGGCTTTTCATGCTTTGCTTGTCCCAAATAGACTTTCCTGCTTTCATTAAGCAGCACTTCTTGGATTTTACATTCTGTCACATGCCCAATTTAGTGTGGGATAGAAAAATGAGTCAATATCTTACCTTGAAAAAATGTCATCCCTTCTGTTAAATATAGTAGAGGCTGTATCATACTGTGGAAATGTCAGAAAAGCTCGTCAAAGTTGAAGAGAAGATGGTTGGATGAAAACCTTAAAAATGGATCTCCTGACAGAATAATAACTAGACTGTCAAGGTTGGTTGTGGTTTGGAGGACCCAAATGCAGAGGCAGAGGTGAATACTTGTAGTTTTAAAGAAAATGGTTAACAAAGGCAGTCCAGAAATCCAACTAAAAATGTAACAGACCAGAACCATGTAGACTTCAAGGGAAAACACGTAGAAGGAGCCGGGGAGAGACGAGGGCAGACGACTACAGCGATGACATGACCAGCCACAACAAGGAACCAACAAAGAGTGAGAGCAGAGGGAGAGCATATATAGCTGACAGAGACAAAGGGAGGGCTAACGAGGGAGCCAAGGGGAAAGGAACACACACACACACAACAGGGCAACAGAGGACAACATGAGAACTAACAAATCTAGAAATTACAACACAATAGGAATTAAACCAATAAAAACAAGGAGCAAAGTAAAGCATAACATAACCAAAACCATGACATAAACGTGCAGCCAGAGCTATAGATCAAAGCATGATTATGTATTGCTGTGGCCTAGTCAAAGTCTAGTGCAGCTGGTATGGCCTGACCATTTCTGATCCCGTTAGAGAGTTAGAGCTATTTTACAAAGATGTACGGATGAAAGCTGCAGTGGAAGGAATTGATTTAGGAAGATGGATCCAAATGTAAATGAAACTTTAGTTTATTAGATGTAAAACAGTTAAAAAAAAACACAAAACCTATGGCTTTTCCTTCTGCTTCCTGATATGCACCAATTTTTAAACTGTCACATTGATGACAAATAATGGATGATGTTTCTGACTGTAAAACTTGGAGAAGCTAAAGGGATTCTAACACTTGTTGGAAGGCAGCTGATGTATTTCACCGTCATTTGGAGAACCAACTAGATAAAGTACAGCAGTATCTATTCAAATTTTCCCCACTTTACTTGATTGGCCCTTGGCTGGTACTTGGCTACTCCCCTTTAATTAATTTTCAAACATCTGAAATATTCTTTCTGTCATAATTTGGACAATTAGATCTAAAGAGAAGCATTATCTCCTGGTCAGACCCATTAATTCAGTGAAAGGGTGGCTGGAAGTTGGAGGGGATTTTGTTGCCATTCGGCTGGCTTTTAAATGGGAAGGGCCATTTTGAATGGCTTCTACTTTAACAGCAGCTTCGTGCATTTACAGGTTCATATTTATCAGTGACTTTGACCAGAAGAGTTATTGATCTGCTCCTAGTAGTCTTATGGCTTCATAACGTTTGTTAATGTCACAAAGGTTTGTATCACACACATAGGACTTAGTCCTAATCACAGCCACAAAATGTATGTTTGCAGTAAGCAAATCCATAACCAAGGTGTATTTTTAGCAAGTCAGTTAGGCTTTCATGGTGTTCTATGTCTCTTTAAGAATCCTACAATCATAGATCGTCACTTCTAGCTTCCTTTGTTGACTGTATCATCTGGTCTCCCTGTTGCTGTCAAGGAAAACTCCAACTTTTATCCGTTCCTTCACCTTTTTCAGGGCCTCTTTGTGCTTGCACTTATAAACCTGAACCATGTTCTGAACCATCATTTTGAATCAGCTTTCTCCGACCTCTCTTCAGGTGTGATGTATTGTTCTATAACTTCCTCTGACAAACCTACATGACATCTCTTTTATCTTGTTCAGTCACATGGTCTTGGTATTTCAACCTAGTCGCACATTCTTTCTCTTTTTGCAGAGTTGCTACTTTGTTTTAAACTGTGGACATCTTTTTTTTAAGCTTCAACAAGTATAGACATTTTCAGCGTTGTTATAGTATAGTTGTTACCGTGTTAAAATCCCTGTCAAATCTAATTTTACAGCCACTTTTTCTTTGTCCTTTTTTCAGATAATAAATTTAAATGTTTATATATCCTGTTTCCTTTTCCAAACTCTTCCAGACCTGGAAATCTCTCAAATTAAACTGTATTCTTTAAAAGTCTGCAAGAGGAAACACTTTTAGTCTTTAATACTTTGGCTGCATTATCAAAAGCGAAGTGTTTTATAGCTTGTATTTACATGAATTTCAGCACGTTGGTCACATTAATTATTTTTGCACTTGAGAATCATTTTTGTTTGTTTGTCAGACTATTTTTAACTTCAAGAGCTACAAATGTCTATTTCTGCAAGTACAACATGCAACGCCTACCTTGCACTATTGTCTATGGAAAACATTTACAAACCTAATTCAGTCTGCGATGAGCATCCTTTAGAAAAAAGACATACCTTAATATGTGGTTTTGCATCTGACAACTGAGCAAACGGAGCCATCAAAGAGTTTTGTGAGATGCGGGGAAGAAAATAGAGAGCCTCAGTGCATAGCATCCTCCAAACAAAGCTTTTAGCTCAAACACAACAGCTCTGTGTGAAAGCATGCAGCACTATTCTTTACATTGTTTCATTACATCATCAGTGAGCAAATTTCTTTTTAACTGTAAAACCTGAGGAAAGTAACAATTCATTTTATTTCAGTCCCTTTTTAAACGGTGACATGAGGGATTCATCATTCCATTACAAAAATCGCAGAAGGTAGAGCTCCCCCATAATCTGATCCTTTACCCCCCTGAGGCCTGTTGATCCAAGTGTATGTTAATCTCAAAGGGCCAAACCTCTGTGTTTATTTCCTAAATGCTGGTTAGCACAAAATCAGTGCCGACATGGTAACCGACGTATGTAATCAGTGACCATTAACTGTTACTAATTGCAATATACCTACATTTCAATTGAGTTTATTTATATAGTATCAATTCACAGCACGTCATCTCAAGGCACAGTTCACCAGATCATCCAGTCAAATTGATTCAAAGTTTTCTATTTAAGGAAAACCAGTTGATTGCATCGACTCATTGACTACAAGGCAATCCCTTACACTAAGAATGCTTGTAGCGACAGTGGAGAGAAAAAAACTCCCTTTGAACAGGAAGTAACCTCCAGCAGAACCAGGCTCAGTGTGAGCGGCCATCTGCTGAGGCCAACTGGGGTTCAAAGAGACAGAAGCAGAGATACAAAAAGCAGCTGTAAAAGGCCTGTACAGGAAACACACAGCCAGGCAGACGAGCTCCGAGCCAAACTCAATGTCAGAGGATGTAAAGCACATCCAGTTAGTCACAGTCAGAGAAACAGGACTAGACTGAAAAACAGGCCAATCTCCAACATCTATAAACATTTTTCTGTACTTGGGGGCAAATAATTGTTTTATATGCATATTAGGGGGTAGGTTATGTCAGAAAGAAAGAGCCCTGCTCTGATCTCCTGTTAGCATTAGAAAGATCCCTCTGCTTGTTGGCTGCTTCAGTTGATAACAGTTAGTTAATGATTACTGCAAAATACATTTAAAGCTATGCATTTTATGTAATGTTGCACACACTATTATCGTAAAAAGGGCAGCAGTGTGGTTTAGAATTAGAAAGAATATAAAAATAGCTCAAATGTTAATATGTGACAAACAATGTCCAATCCTGAAGTTAATCCGAGTCTCTCATTCACATTCAAGCTCGATGTTGATTTGAAAGTGGGAGGAAACACAACATTGCAGTGAGCTTCCTGCTGATGTTCTCACTCAGCATCAGTTCTGCCTTTCTTGTTCTCCTTTAACAGCATTTTCTTGCATGTTTGTACTTTATCTCTGTTTCCAAGGCTTACTATAACACCTGCGAGCAGACACGTGTGGTAAACTATACATGCAACGGTATGCATTTGCTTCTCAGCACGAACCACACTTACATAATGGAAAGGGTGCAAGCGGCATTCCATTGATACTCCCCTCCTTCAAAGTTTCACAGCATCAGCAGGGTATTTCTAGCTCTGGCTTCCCGTAACAAAAAGAAATTCATATTCACCTTAAATTATCATTAATTTCTTCATGCTAATTGTTTATCTAAAAATGAAAATAGCATCAGAGCCGATACCTGCTCAGGAAACAGACATAACAATCAGATATTCACAAATCCTGTTTTTATAAAGTCCTGCAGTTTCCCATGTTTTTCTATGTGAGGAATTTGTGAAGTTGATGTTGGGAAGAAACTTGAGAGTCAAAGTTGACTTCATTTTCACAGCTTCTTTAGAGTTTTCTAGAAACCAGAAACAGGAAGAAGGTGGCCTCATGCACACATGTGTTAGAAGAGGCTGTTACGAGCCAGCTATTTGTGGAAGCTGGCTATAAGAGCACCTCAGAGCTTACCTCTTCCTCTTTCTAAAGTGTCATGTGCTCGCTCAATAGCTGTTGTTTTCCTTTTCTGACTGAGTTTTGCTAAAGCCTTTGTAGTACAAAATGATCCTGATGTATTGCTTATGCTTATGACTGGTTGAAAAGCGGTTAGAGTTTAGAGCACTACCCACTTAATCTGATTTCTTTCTAAATGTTTTCTTCCCTTCATTTGTTTAAACACCACACTTGTTGATAAAACTATATAAAGCCCATTTCATCTCCTTCTAAATCTTATTTGCACTTTTTCTTCTGCCAGGTTCATTTTCAACTTTTAATTTGGCAAAGGGACTTTGACATGTCATCGTAAAGGACATGAAAACATGACTCTTGATAAAGTGTCTTATAATATAAGGACATCTGCTGCTTAAATCCTCCACTGATTCTCTTCTAAATTTAATGTTGAAACAAAAATAATTTTGTTTTTCTTAATTTTTTTAGTTGCTTCAAACTCTTAAATTGTAATATAGAATTGAGAATGGATGTGCAAACAGAAACTGGCTCAGTCAGAATGCAGAAGCGTGCTGCTCTCCTAGCCTACAGCCTGTGTGTCACTGTTGACTGCAAATCTATATCTCTCCTGCATCTCATGTGAGTTTTAATATGAAACTCAAACTGCGTCAAACAGCAAAGGCACAGTGACACTGGCTGAATGCTGCTGACCACTAATTTTACAGTGCATTGTCAAAGTATTAATATTGTTGAAATTTTTTAGCTTTTTTGTCTCATTGCAGCAAAATTCCTGGTATTTTTGTGATCATCTAACAAAAAGGTCACAATTGTAATAATTATAATAATAATTATTAAATTCAATTCAGTTTATTTTCTGTAGCGCCAATTCACAACACAAGTCATCTTAAGGCACTTTACAGTTCAACCAGATCATCCAATCAGATTGATTCAAAGTTTTCTATCTAAGGAAAACCAGTTGATTGCATCGACTTATTGACTCGAAGGCAATCTATCACACTAAGCATGCTTGTAGCGACAGTTGGGAGGAAAGATTCCTTTTTAACAGGAAGAAACCTCCAGCAGAACCATTCTCAGTGTGAGCGGCCATCTGCTGAGGCCAACTTGGGTTCAAGGAGACAGAAGCAGACATAGAAAATACAAAAGGCAACTGTTAACCAGCTCCACAGGCGGCCCCGTCCTGGAAACACGCAGCCAGGCAGACGAGCTCCGAGCCAGCTCCCATGTCAGAGGATGAAAGAGACCAAATCCAGTTAGTCACAGAGAAGCAGTACAACAATGAAAAACAAGTCAGGCTCCAACATCTATAAACAAAGGTGTTGTTGGCAGATGACAAAAAGCAGAGAGAACTTAACCTTAGAGATTGAACTAACAAATACACATGTACATCACAATTCTCAGGTTTTATTCAGAACATATTTGGAATATTTGCATGATTTTCCTTTTGTGTTGCAGTTGTTGGCGCATCAACAACGCAGACTTTCAGTTCAACAGGCTTTTCTGTCTGCTGAGATGTTTTCCCTGTCGAGCTGCAGGGGTTAATGCTGAACAACCAAAAAAAATGTATTAAGCTGCCTTGGAAATAAAAAAAAACTAACCTTCCTTTTATTCTGTATAGTGATGGTGTCTGGATCAAGCCAACGACAGATATGGCTGGACTGTCCAGGAGGACTTAAGGCCATACAGATGACAGCCTCAAACTCAGCTGGAGAAGGGCCTCAAAGAAAAGGGACCATTATTCCCCCTCCAGAAACAACTGGTCAGCAGTTTTTCTCCCTTTTAAGTTTTAAAAAATCACCATATATAAACTTTATGTTGTTTTAAATTAGGTCTCTTTCTCTGTATAAAGGAAAATATCTGCTTAGAAGTAAAGACAGGTAAGAATTTGTCCAATTAATCACTTTTCCTTCATATCTCTTCAGTCCGCCTGGTGGTTGTGATTTTGTTCACCATGATCGTATTTGTAGCGATTGTGGCCAACCTGATGTGCTGGAGCTGCGTGAGGAAACGGTAATCATGTTTACTTATAAAGTTCAAATGTTAACATTTCCACAGAAAACCACATTCTGTCTACCCGACAACCGAACAAGTTGATTTTCGTCTCGTTGTCCTGCAACTTAATCTCAGCGCTGATAAGTTTTGTTTTACGAGTAAAAGGATGGATGACCCTGTGGTTAATTTTTAGTGAAAAACCACACTCGAGTAAAAACCCACTAGGTTATCATGAACAGAAACCTAAACCTCATTCTGATTTTGCTTTTTTGTTTATCTGCCTGCATTATTAGTCATGTCATTAGCATTGATGTGCGTTTTCCTGTGAAAGCATATGTAACACTTGCATTTCAATCATATATGATCAGGCCAAAACCACAAACTTCAGCGAGTTTTATTAGACACTTATGACTTTAAACCAACATTAAGTAGCAGTAAGTTACATTTTTGCTTCTTCTTTTTTTTTTTTTTTTAACACAGATTAGATTAGAATGAGAGAATATTTCAAGATCAGTCACGGCAACTTTCAATATGTTATCCACTGGGTTTGGCCTTTAACTGGGTTTTCTAACACATGAATAAGTTACGATTATGTTTTTGTAGCTCTAGCTGCAGTTTGAAACCCTTTGGAGTCTCTAACCTGTTTCTTCCAGGACATTAAGGTTTAGTTCCAACCGTCTTTCCATCAACTTTGACGAGCTTTCATATCCCTGCTAAGGAAAAGCATCTATGCAGTGTGATGCTGGCACTACCAGTTTTCAACCTGGGGATGCTGTTTGGTATATAGTAGTTTATATGCAGGCCAAGAACTTCAGCTTTTACCTCGTCTTAAAACAAGCACATTTTCCATGTTACATCCTTCTTCCAATCCTCTATAACTGCTATAATTTAGCTATGCCTATCATGCACAGTGAAAAGACCACTATTCGTAATACAGAAAACAGGACAGATAACCACACTGCTGAAAATTTAAACCTAAATAGGTAATTTTAATAAGTGCATTTTTTGATTGAGGAGATAAGTGAGATACTTTGCCTTTGGAACAAGAACATTTGCATTTAAAATAGAAAAGAAACAATTGCATTGTCTGATTTCAAGTCCATATTATCTAATTATCTTATCTTAAGATTAAAAATATTCATTCCATGCATCTCTGCTTCTGTCTCCTTGAACCCCAGTCGGCCTCAGCAGATGGCCGCTCACACTGAGCCTGGTTCTGCTGGAGGTTTCTTCCTGTTCAAAGGGAGTTTTTCCTCTCCACTGTTGCTACAAGCATGCTTAGTGTGAGGGATTACCTTAGAGTAAATGAGTCGATGCAATCAACTTAACAAAAGAGATGATTCTTTAAATCAATTTGACAGTATGGTCTGGTTGAACTGTAAAGTGCCTTGAGATGACATGTGTTGTGAATTGGCGCTATAGAAATAAACTAAATTGAATTGAAACTAATTCCATTGGCAAGTCACCTTATTTACCTACTCAAATTAAAAGTAAATATACTTCATTTAAGAAATGTTTACCTATTTCCTGATCGTTTTTGTAGTGCATGGGCATGCACATGGTCAGACCTAAAGGGAATTTAGAGTTGCAGGAATCTGGGGCTCAGAGAGAAGATCCATATCTGTAGAAGGAGGACAGAATGAAACTCCATGCAGAGAGACAGGAATTGGAACCAAGGAACTTGTTACTTGTGCTGTTAGCTGATGTATCCTTTCAGTTGTCTTATCAATGCACGCATCAAGTTTCAAAAACATGGCTGCTGCACATTGTATTCTGGGTGGGTGGCCGGGTGGGTGGCCCTCCCCCTAGAAAGTGAGCCCCAAATTATTTGTTTACAATGTAAAATTATGCGTATAATCTGAAAAATGAGAAGTGTTTCCTCTTTTGTTTTTTTAAACATGAAATATGAGGTTAAAAAACTTGTTGTACGAGGAGATAATGACACAGAAGATTTCAGCTTTAAAAGAATTCTGCTGAAACCTGAAAGTGACGTGGAGCCACGGTCATGGTGCCGCCAGTGTTTGCTGCTTCAGAAATGCGTATAAATGAACTCCCAATGCTGAAGGAAAGGCAGCAACCGCACAATTAGAGAAGTAAAACTGTTTAGTTGATCAGTTTCAACTTACTTTCGAGCATGAACGATTACGTTGGCTTCATTATGATTATTACAAGATAAACCTCAAGTTTGGCAAGTTTTAATTTCACAAATCTGCACCGGTCTGTTGTGGTAAAGAAAGAGCTGAGCCAAAAGGCAAAGCTCTCAATTTACCAGTTGATCTACGTTCCTGCCCTCATCTATGGTTATGAGCTTTGGGTTGCGACCGAAACAACAAGATCTCGGATATATGCAGCTGAAATTAGTTTTCTCGGCGGATATTCAGTCCCTTCTGTTTTGGAAGCAGGCATATCTAAAATATGTTAAAGTTTGGTTGATTTAATGTGACTAAAGTAAAAATGTCTGATAAAATCATTATCATCTTCATTAAGAGCGATAAAACAAACATGGCTGTTTTTTTTAAGCTTTTTTTGTCCAAAAATTAAAATATGTATAATATCTTTGGTTTCAGGATTAAACAGAAATGTATAGCATGGGGACCTAAATGGCTCATGGACAACTTGCCAAAACCGGGACACAGTAACGCCATCAGACTGCTGGAGGTAATAAACAATGGATGCACTGATGCCTGACATACAGTAGCCAATAGCTGCAACAGATCATTTATTTAGCAGTACTTCCATATTTATATAAGTAAACCTGTTAAAGCATTTCAGGAACTGAAATAGTCTCTTTGTCTCAGAGTGATCTCACAGTTTTATTTAGCTGAGAACATAAAATGTAACCTGACAACAGCCAGATGCATGTCTCGCTCCGCCTAGCTCCACTCACATACATCTGGGAACCCGCTCATTGAAAGCGATTTCCCCAACCGAATTTATGGTCTGTCCAATCAGGACGCAGGGCGGGTGTGTCCTGGAGTGGAGATGCGACCGTGAGATTCTAACAACAATGGCGGCTTGCATTGATGCTGCTATTTCTTCTGTGTTGTCCAATCTATCTGATTTTGTTTCATTAAAAGAACATCAGAGAACGGCTTTGAAGGCTTTTGTTGGTGGAAACGATGTTTTCGCCCTTCTCCCGACCGGATTTGGCAAGAGCTTGATCTACCAAATGGCTCCTCCTCTCACAGCGTCACGGGTTAGCGTCGGTGTGAGTGGTTGAAATAGCACGTCAATAAAGATGACAGACAAGTGGCTTATCCAATCATATGCAAGGAGTTTTGATAAAGCCCAGCCCTCAGTAAAGGCAATTCCTATGGCGGGTTCCCAGATGTATGTGAGTGGAGCTAGGCGGAGCGAGACATGCATCTGGCTGTTGTCAGGTTACATAAAATGCACTTTTCTCCAACAAATATGTAAGAGTCTTCTTTCCTCTGATCATTTCCTTTCTTTCACTAGGATGACAGAAGTGAGCCACTTTTCTCCACCATCTATAGCGACCCTCCTCTTTCGCCGATCCTTGTGATCTCTGAGGAGGAGGAGGAGGAGCGGGATGAAGTTTACCCCGCCATCCATGTTGAAGAGTCCCTGGTTGGATCTGACCAGACACCCGATACCACAACAATCCTGGTTCAATACAGCAGCTACAAACCTCAGATAGCTGCCCTGGTTCCTCTTGAAGAGGAGGCGAACAATGCGGAGGAGGAACTAAGAGATGTTCAAGAAAACACAGAGGAAGATAGGTGTTTGCTTGGGTTTGAGGGATTACTGGGAGAGCTTTTTTCTGATAAGGATTTGGATTACTCCCATAATTCTCACCAGATCCCCCTTTGCTTTACTGGGGATCTTTTGCTGCCGAAAACCGCTGCAACATCTACCCTTCAAGGAATCCACTTAGATGAGATGGGCGGCAAGGAGGAGGATGTGGAGAACAGTGTTTCTTCTGTGGACTTGCAGCAAGTTGAGAAAAAGACTCTTGATTCGGATGATAGCTCATCCTGCCCGTTTTCAGTTGACACAATCCAGAGCAGCGGCTACTTCCCCCAGGTAGCGCCTCTCAGCGCCATGACGGGGGAAACACTGAGGTAGCACGGATGTTGGACAGACAAGAATTGGACTTTAAGTCCATTTTAAGAGCATTAAAAAAGCACAAAGTTTGGTGGAAAAGATACCATGGTACCAATGAACTGCACGAATAGTTGGGGACTTAACTGTGAGTTGGCTTCTTTCTTATCCTTATTAATGGATATACAGCCATATCTGCTTCACTGTGCAATTTCACTCAGCCCTGATTATAAAAGATAACAAGAGGCCCCTCTCCCTTGCTTTTTCTGACTTCACCTCAGCAGACCCAACTGTGAAACTCCTGAGGTTCACAGATGATGTCTCCATCATTGTTCTGATCCAGGTCATCGATAAGGAGGAAACATCTGGAGTGCATCCCATTTGAGACAATGGAAATGCTGTTGGACTTTGAAAAGGAAATGAAAAACACCCCAACTACCTCAACTCAACTTCCTTAACAACACCTGCCCAAAGTGGATTACTGCTGCTCCCCTCAATGGGACCTGAGATGGTACGGCCCTGTAAGCACTGTTAGGAAGTAACTATATGTCTACAATGAACCATTAGGATGAATATTTAGGGTCATGACCTGACCTTCCCTCCATCCAGGAGTTGGCCAGGTAAAGATTCAGATATGGGCAGCTAACATCTCCGCAGACCCCACACTCCCTGGACACAAAGACTTTTACCTTCAGGTCATCACTGTTTGCACTACCAGAGCCTGTATAGAATGATTATACACATGTATATATACATGTACGTACTCTGCCTTTATTTCTTTATTTTGTTTCCTCTGAAGTCGTAATAGCTGTGTTTATCATGTGATGTTTATGAAACTGAAGTCAGATTCCGTGTTTCTGCATAAGGTCTTGGCCAATAAAACTGATTTCGTTTATCCGGAAGAGCAGACTGTAAATTCTTTGTGCTTTTTAAACTCAGACTGTTCCTGCTGCTTTAGTTGAGTTTGGATTAGCATACTGTAAGTATTTCAAAACTAGAACATCAGAAGGAATTTGTGAATTTTACGCTTTTTTTCATTATTAATCGGACCTTGGGTCAGTAATTCAATTCCATTTATTTCTATAGCGGCAATTCACAACACATGTCATCTCAAGGCACTTTACAGTTCACCAGATCATCCAGTCAGATAGGGTTAGGGTCAGTTTTAACAGGAAGAAACCTCCAGCAGAACCAGGCTCAGTGTGAGCGGCCATCTGCTGAGGCCGACTGGGGTTTAAGGAGACAGAAGCAGAGATACAAAAGGCAACTGTAAAAGGTTCTTAGAAAATGTTAAAATGTTTGCCTATTACCTTAGAAAAGCAAGGTGCAACAGAGTCAAGTCTGTCGGCTGCATGTTCTCAAACACCCTTCAGATGTAACCCTGGGATTGCAACCGTGAATTATTGAGGGCAACTCAACAACATTGATATTTTCTTGAGTTGTTATCCATTTGGAAGACCAAAGTGCCTGTGCTCTAGTTTCCAGCTAATGTCTCATTATGTTGCTTCAATAAACCACATAGTTTTCTTTTCATTCTGATACTACAACCCCCAATACTTGAAAGGGTGGTACTCTAAAGTTTGCAAAATTTTCATTTAAATCTACAGTGTGTTATTTTCAGCGACATATAGCGTCCAGACTGCAGACCGCAGCAACATGAACATCTCCCCCCCACCGCTTCTCCCCCCCAACAGTACGGCGAGCGTTACGGGACAAAATGTCTTCCACGACGTCCGCATCACCTACCTTCTCAAGTGATGAGGTTTGTTTACATAGATAATTTTAATACTGCCATCTATTGTTTAGTACCTTCTCAGTTCATCTCTCTCAACTTGCCGTAGTTACTTTCGAGCGTAATGGGCGATCTCGAAATCACTAGTTTGTTGGCTCTGCGCTGCCGTAGCGCAAAGGTGTCTGCCTCCATGCCTGCTCCTCTGTAATTATAAATAACGAATTCTAAGGCAACGCAAATATTAAGGTTAAGAGGCTGAGCTCGTAGATGATGATAAATAACATAGTTATGTATAATATATTACATTTCTGACTGTATATCCCTGTAATTATTACACACTGTTGCTTTAACTGTAACAATGATCATTTGACCAACATTCGGGTTTTGTTTCATCTGACTAAAGGAATACCTCCCAAAGTGTTTTTGCGAGCTGTAACCTGGAATTTTATGTTGCTGGTAATGCCTCCTAGACTCTCTCATTGCCAGGTGCATGGAATAGGCTACGCATTCCCCAGCGTTTCTACTCACATATAGTTTGATTTATTTTAATTTATATGGCGCTAATTAACAACACATGTCATCTTAAGGCACTTTACAGAAACTATACAACCACATCATACAGTTTAAGTTAAAACAGATGAGAACAAAACGTTGGCATTTACAGTAGTAGCCATTCAAAATGTCCACACTTTCCTTGATGGCCCTTGGCTGGTCCCCTTCAATTCCTTTTTAAACATCAATATTTATACTAAAATATTCTTTCTGTCATGATTGTGGACATTAAGATCTAAAGAGAAGCTCGATCTTCTGGTAAGATACTTTAATTCAGTGAAAGGGTGGAGTCAGAAGAACAAATATGCAAGCCAAGGAGAATGAGGAGATCTCTGCAGTGGCTGGAATTTGGAGGGATTTTGCTGCCATTCTGCTGCCATTCGGCTGGCTTTTTTACCGTTAAGGGCAAATTTGAATGGCTGTTACTGTAGCAAACAGAAATTTGTATTTGTTTATCCTAAGTGACCTAATACAGCAGTAAAATCTGATTTTCTTGTCATATAGTGAGAAGAAATCTCTATGTATTGTGTGTGTGGACATCAGATGTTAACAGTTATTTTCTCCTATTATAAAAAAGCAGGTATTTTTCTCATTGTTGGATATTTCTGTTTTTTTCTCTGTAATACCTCAGTGGTAAAAACAGCCTTAAACTGATCTTTTTCTTATCTCTGAGATCTGTTTGTCACAGTAGGATCTGTTAAACCTGTTTTAGCTCATTTTCTACCACCATGAGCCTTTACTTCCATTTTTTTTTATTCACATCCAATGCTGTAAAAAGCTTTCAGTCATGTCTCAATGCTTTGCTTGCAGAACTGTAGTCATTTAAATTGGTCAGTATTTCTCTAGGGTTTCCAGAAGCCTTTGTAAAACCTAGTTGTGACTATAGAATGAACCCTGGATAAAGAAAGAACCTCTGCCAGATTGTTGATGGGTGTTTTGCTTCCCTTTTTTCCTAAAAACATGATTTCGAGATACTGTTAATCTGGAAGAACAGACACCTCTGTTTACCACATAGAGCATCCAAACTTGAAAATAGATCCTCAGAAGGTTGCGGCTGCTGCAAGTCACCACCGTTGCAAGATGCAACGGTGGTGACTTGCAGCAGCTGCTGCATGTAGACATATAAGAAGCTCACTCACTAGTAATAGCACCTTTATCCAATAAATCTCTCTCAATCCAAAAAGAAATACTAAACACCACGGTTTAGAAGCAACATCCTTCACATGACAGATGTGTGGGTTTTCTGTGACACCTTCACCATCATAGATGCATATCATAGCATTAACCTGAGGCAGGAAGGGATAAGTTGTGGACACCCACCAATTATCTTCCATTGCAATTGGTAACCATGGTGATTAATAAGCGGGTGGGTTGAGAGATATTGACAACCAGTAATAAGTACATTTCTTAGGCAACTCATGATAATATGAAGATGAGAAATTCCAACTTCATGCAATTATACATGCAGAGCTTCTGAGGTGTTGCCACCTCTCTCATCTGCTATTTCTCTGAGATCCGATATATAGTGTAACCCATTAGTCATTTAGCCTGCTAATCACCAGTCTGGCACTAGGGAACACAGAGAGACAAAAGACATAGGTGTGCAAAATGCTGGGTTTTTTTTTTTTTTTTTTTTTTTTGTATATTTTTAAGAGAGATGAAATGATAGCATGATTTTGTTTCTTTTTAATAATCCATTAATGTCAGGTATGCAAACTTGACAGTCGTTTGGCCAAAGATGTAGATGGCAC